ATGCCACATAAAAAATTCCCTCACCAAATATTCAAACTACTTCTTATTTTATTGTTTGAAGAGGGGAAATGTAAGAGTTCTCTTAATTAAAAAAAAAAACCCAGCACCTACTTCTTGAAAAGATATGTTATTCTTCTTGTTTCTGCTGACAACAGTCTGTCTCAAAAGGAAGTAGGCTCTTCTATATGAAATGATAAAAAAATTACTTGCTACAATAGCTGCAATTTTACATGAAGAATTCAACATGAATGAATCAGTGCTGTGTATTATACAGAGCACTCTGCAACCCAAAATACTCTAATTTTTAAAAGCAATATTCTGTTTAATAGAAGTCTACATAAACGAGTGAATTATTTCCTACGTAAATTAGTAAAAGTCTATATAAATTAGTAAATGATTTCCTCATTATTCTCATTGTGCCATGTCAAAGTAACACTACTAAGACTTTGAAGATATTTCTTAGGTCTGAGTCCCACCTGTAACTATGACCAAACCATTTTAAGAGGGACTGATTTAATCCATGATTAATGCCATATAAAGATCTCTTGAATAGAAAGCACCCAATGAACCAGTCTCTAAAAATGCACAAGCAAAAAGCTAAAAGAATATATCTTGTGATGAGAAATGAAGAAGTTAAGGGGAGAAGAACTGCAAACTGTTCAATAACATGCACATAATTTATAAATTGAATTATCTAGTGTTTAAGTATGTTCCAGGAAGTCCACAGAGAACAGATGTAGACCAAAGAAGGAACCTAAATGATTGAGCCTGGTTTTTTTAAAGTTCAGGTTTTTTGCTTGGTTTTATTTCAGCAAAAACTGAGATAAATTTCTCAGGCTTCAGATGCTGAAACTTTAAAATTTATATGAGTTCCCAGATAATAATCTTGAAATTTTGTTTGGGTGGATTATGAAGTTAGACTGCAAAACACTAAAACAGTTCTGAGAACTTGCATGGGAGGGCAAATTTGATTTTACCCATCTCAGGTCTGAAATCATGTATATATGCAGAAGGCTGCATTCCTACCCTGCTGCAAAAGCTGGCTTTTATTTTTTTAATGTTGTGGTTGCATTGCTCAACTGATGGAGAGCACATCCCTTCATATGCTGTGGCTTGCAGAGGCATCTGGAGTCACTAACTTCTTCAGAATTGGCTTTTCTATCATGGAAGAAGAGACTCGATGTTCTTCCCCCCATTCTCACCCCAAAGTGTGGTTAAAATCAGGGTTAAAAAGCCTGATCATAATGAATCTATTAAATGAAGTCCCAAGAGGAAGAGCTACACTTTATTGTTCTAGCTGCAGCCTGGTTTAGACAGCTAGACCTCCTGCTGACACTCAGTTGAGATATTTCTCCACTTTTAGACTCTAAAGCTGATGCTCAGGTTTGATTTACACTGGGTTGAAGGGCATCCTGGTAGAGCTTTTGATTTATTCTGCTCAGTACTGATAGTATCTATTCAGCCCATATTTTGTAATTCTTATATTCTTGATGCTGTACTTCAAATAAGATTTGGGTCTTTCTTGGAATAAAATTGCTAATACTTCTTAGCAAGGTTGTTTGTTTTTTTCTTTAGCTGAAAATTTCAGCTAATTTACCTAGAAAATATATTCTGTATATCCACATCTTCTCCTTAATAGTAGAGTTGTTGACTCTGAATTTGTTTCAATCAACTACATAGTTCCACTTCTTAATTAACTATGTAGTTCCACCGAGGTCAGAGTGACATATTTGTGTGTACTGGAGGTAATTATGTGTCAGTCTTGGCTTCTAAACATTTTCTTTAAGAATTGTTCAATCCCTCAAATACCTTTTTTTTAAGATATTGTCATTTGTGGCTTTAGGTCAAACATCCACTGTGCTATTTTCTGTTCTCTTTATTGTCATGAATGACACTGTTGTATCCCTATTTTTCCATGAAAAACAAGGTTATTATATTCTGTGGAACCCTATTTTTCTCTGCACACACTAATAAAAGGGAGAGTAAGAGTTTTTAGAGAGTGTCTGTAGAATAAAGCAGAGTTAGTACATGTTTTAATAAGATGGAAAAGATCTCAGGCTGTACTGAACTTGCAGATTTTAATAACTGGGCAGCACTTCTCAGCAATTAGTATTCCAGTGCTGCAAACAACTGAAAGGTAGCAGCTGGTTAGTGTGAATCACAACAAATCCCCTTTGCTTTGGTTAGTGGAAAATGCAGTGGCCAGATTAGTGGGTGCTTTTAAAAGCAAGAATGAAGATTTTCATTTCTCTCTACTTAAATACCCAGGAATTGACAAATTCTGTTCACTAGGAAGACACTTTGCTCCAAAGGAGAGTGAATTAGTGTCTTGTGAAATGAATTGCCTGATGTGCTGCCTTGTGCAACTCCAGAAAATCACACTTGGGTTTTATTTGGAAGCTGCTTTTTAGGAAAATTCTCTCTCAGGAGTGTGATAGAAAAATGAGTGAAGTATGGGATCTTTTCAAATTCTTGTTGGCTTGGTTTTTTTCTGTTCTTT